ATCGATTATTTCATACTGAATTTCATTATTTTATAGAGAATCTTCAGTCAAAAAAACATAGAAAAGTTGTCCTTTTTCAAACAGAAAATAGTAAATTCGGTATGACTGAAAGTTCTGAGATTTTTTCATTCCTCAAGATGAATTTTTATATCATGTAGACTTTCACAGAACATACATATGACGATAAAAAAATCTAAATGAGACCAGAGATTCAATCAATTCTTTTAGAATTAGTCTAACTTTGGAATCGACAATGTTGTAATGAGCCCATTGATATGACACTTGTCAAAGGAGACTAATTTTTATTAATTATTTATTACAAAATAAGATCCTGGGGATATGAGTCAGAAAAAGGACTCATATTCTGCTTACCAAACTATTTTATCTATTCTAACGTATCCATAAATCAACGTCATAGAAGATCGTCGCCACATGTAGTGGTGACGAAACCTAATTGATTGTATATTTTGTTATTATCAAAAGAATTTCATCATATCATAATTACTCATATGTCACTTACGAAAAATTAGCCCCTTATTAAAGACATAATGCATATGGCATCCCATGTTTTCATCGTATTTGATTTGCATTAAATCCCATGAAATCTTCTAATTGCAAAAGATCTTTTTTTTAAAGGCTCATTAAAAAAGAAAAACTTTAAGAGTTCATCGTTTCAAATTAAACACAACAATGATTTACCAAACTAAATTTTAATGAAGATGAATATAAATGGAATGGCAAAAATTAAATACATGTAGATTATCATTTCAATTCGATTAGCATGCAAAAATCAGAGATGAAGTCTAATACTTTTTTAACGAAAATTAATTTGATATGCTTGTTTAGAGCAATAGAAAATCTGACTATGTTCTCTTAAAAAAACTTTTTAGAAAGAATTCTTTGAGATTATTAAGAATTATAAGATTATTTATTTTTATATAAAAATGTTCAAAGATAGTGAAGATGGAGAATATCATGCATGAAACTAAAATTAGAGTGTGGTTGTCGGTGAGTTGAATGTTAACAATGCCCACACTCACACTCCGATTTTCTTTCATCGGTTTTCTAAAAGAATCTACCGAAAATTCATCAGTTCAATTAGCTTAGAATACATATCACATTTTGCAGGTCTACATTGTATGAATCTGGATAGCAATGGCTCTATTCCTGCTCTGTTGCGAAAAAGAAATTTATCTGTGATGACAAGGTTGTTGCTCATCCTGTAAATGTGTTGCTTCACTCTGCATTGCTTTTAGCCCTTGTTCAAGAGCATTGTTACAAAAAATGTTCGGAAAATTTCAGAATGATACATAGATGGGACCAGTTCTGAGTCCATTACTACTAGACTTTGAAATCATAATAAATAACTAAACGCATGCTCTAGTCCATACACGATTAGTTATCTTGAAGTAGTCTTTTCGTACATAAGTAAGTATGATCAAGATAACGATTATCTTTAACAGTTTTGATCGAAATGATTGAATATAAATTGTGAAACACATATAGAATTCGAATTTCACCAATGTACACGTTCAAACGCAGCCTTAACCGTTTATTGTCTGTCTCGATTTTATGTTTGAAAATTGCTCAGTTGAATATTAAATCTTTGTTTGATCTACCTTGTAGAAAATTCGCTTCAAATTCGATTTGCTTATTTCTTAGCTCTAATACCAGATGTATTCACGAACAAGGTGATCAATATTCATCTTCGTGTCTTATTTTTGCAATGTAATGGAAGAACTAGTGCTCGTTTCATAATATTTGTTGATATTGATTCCTTCACATGAGCACTTGTTCTGATGGAATTCGAAAACTTCTGTAACATCTGAGCTCCAGTGTACTTTTAAGAATTATTTATTAGATAAACAAATTATGAAAACGCACACTTGTGTCCAATATTTAAAAAAANCTGATTCATTTTTATACCTAAATTTCACATTTCATAACTCCTGCTAGAAGCAACTTGGGCACGAACTAACTTAGGGTATATCACTCCTAGCTATGCCCTATCTAACCATCATATCCCCGACGGAAAAGCTTTTTGACACCTCGGGTGGTTCCCTCGTTAGATGAAACAGATCGAGTCTTAGTTTAGCGAAAAAAATTGCTCGTGAAAATCACCAAGGTATTGTAAAACGCTAAATACTTTATCGAGATCGATTTAGTCGAACATTATAATCATTCATTTAGTTTTAATTTTTCGTCTGCAATCTGTAAAGGTCGTCCCGGACGCTATTAACCTGCAACAGCAGCAGTTTCATAAAAGCCTTGTGTGTGCTTTTAATCCAGTTTACTTCTAATCCTTTCTTTGTTCAATACGATGAACAATTTTGGTTTTATGATTGTATATGATCAGAATAAGCGTAATATTGAAATAATTCTTATCCTGATCTTTATAGACACAAGCATATATCGGACAGTATGCTGAATAGAAGTTCAGAAAACCTAGTATCATCTTTTACAAATATGTAGAGACAGCTTCAGTTGCGTAAGATATATGCGTTTACATTTTCAAGGAACTTTTGGGACAATTTGTATACTTTTATTTCATATGCCTATAGAGCAATCACTCTTGCATATTACCGACAATCATTGTAGAAGCGGGCTAAAGCTGGCTGTGAGTGTGAGTATTGATTAAAGAAGAACTACACACACGTCCACACCTATACCCACAACAGGACAAAAATGATCATGTCAAGCTGATATGGACAATGCACTTCAGTGGCATCTTTCATTTGTCTCGAAAGAATCTTTCTACTTTTTTAAAAAAACATAATGAAAAATTCTGCCAGTTCAAACCGCGAATAAACCTACGTTATCAGATAGTTTAATTTATATCCAGCTATTGGAATGAAACGATGAAGCAAAAACCAATCAATATATCAATTTGCTGATCACTCAACCGAAACCAGACCGTATGATTGTGCAAATGGCAACAAAAAAGCGTGGGGTGTGGAAGTGGGTGCCCAGATCACTGAACTTTAACCACAATTCACAATCCACACCCGCACCCTTGACACCAAAATCTATAATACCAAAGAGATCGTGACGAAAAGAAGATGTATAGGAGTGGTTACGAGATTATCAAATTGCAGTTAATGATCCAGAGGTGCAGAATCTACCCGCGTGTGCGCGCGGCCGTTTGGGGAAATCTTTTGATTCTTAGGAGCGTTTTGGAGAAATAACTGGAGGAAATAAATCCTAGTGTGGGGAAATTTTTTTAAATCATGGCAGATTCTGTACCTCTGTAATGATCATTCTGTATAAACTGAATTGTTGGAGCAAGCTTTGGCTAATGCACCACTCAAACAGTATAATGTTAGACCTTTTTTCGCTTTTCAAGTTATATTATTATTAAAAAAGTTCGTCTCATTTTGTTTACAAGAGTGATCAGGCTGCCAGGTAAGTCAATCTACAAAATCGTTCGATTACCTTACCAGCACTGTTGCCTTAATCCTATTGAGCTGTCATGAAACAATTTAAAGCAGTATGTATACAAGACAACAATGTTATATTCAAATCAAACGACGGTTATAATTTTTATTCTGGAGTTTATGGACGCCGTTGATAAAGAAGTAGCAACGAGCTACTTCAACCATGTTAAAAAGGTCGAACAAACGTTTAAAGATGCAGGTTATTTCCTTGAAGAAGACATAGAACTGAATTTAGTAGAAGAAGAGACTATGATGGTAGATCGTGATGATAAATAATGGTTTTTGTTTTTGGTTATACTTTTTTGAACGATGCTTTCATACGACGTCTTATGTTGTATCAGAGACAACTTCGTACATTGAACAGGAAGCTCACACCCAGAAATTACTACAAGAATGTTGGCTAGTCTCACAAGAAACTGTCGACAAGTAAAAAGAAAAGGAGAAAATAAGTTTTGAAACGCGGCTGATTTCCACTCTAAGCAAAAATTTATATGTGGAATATTCGTCTTACCTGAGGTATCTTAAAAGAGATTCGGTTAAAAACTGTTCTCAAACTCTAAATAAGCAACACCACGACACTCAGAGTATCTGGCAAATCATATGTCACGTGTTTTTATAATTTTTGTCTGTGTTCGGGTACAAGTAGATATCTTTACACAGAATACTTTTTACTTTCGAACCGTAAGAGATACAGACCTGGAGCCGGTCTAGAATCGTAGATCTCGAGCCGGACTATTGATCTCACTATTTGAAAATCAAAATGCATTATACGTTTAGGGAATGGCAATCTCGTCGAATTTGCATTCAAAGATTTAACATGGTAAACCTTGCCTGAAGCCCTGATTACGACGACCGCAGGTCTCTATCATTTTCCCTTCAAAAGTTATGAGCATTCTCCCCAAGTGACTTTTTTCTTTAAATCGATAATAGTTTATTATTTTTTATGTCGAACCTCCTATAGACTAATAAAACTTATCTTTTACAAGGAAAATAGTGTTAAACTCAATATAGCTTCACCTACATTTTCATATAAAATTCATACTTCTTCATCTACAAATAATGTTACACATGCTCTTCATGCTTGTTCTATTTTTCTTTCAAGTATATTCAGTGAACTGAATAACTTAGATTGACTTTAATATTTGTAGATGATTTTGCCTTAGTTTAAATAAAAATCCAAACTATGACATCGTAAAGACTATTGAATCTGGAAGCACGTTAAAGTTATATTTTTGCAAACGCCTTTTAAAACATTCGTGTCTTGTTTTCATTAACGAAACGAACAAAATCAAAATCACTGTTTTTTATATTTTGTGAGCATTTCGAAGAGGAGTGACAAAAGTAAGAGTTGCAGATGGCTTTAGAAACAATTACAACAATGCAGAAAAATAAAGAACAAGCAACAATTTTAGTAGAATTTTTCTCTCCTCTCAATTAAGCTTATTTGTCGTGTCTAACGTATGTATTTCAAACATAGAGAAACAGCAAAGATCATTTCTTTTTTTTTTGTCAGTCTTGAAAAATAAAACACTGTACAAATAGTCATTGTGATAAAAAACAAAACAAATGGATTCCGATTTAAATACTCTTTCAGACCATGTCCATCAAGTCGAAACTCGTTTTAATAAATTACGCGACGAAATTATTTCAAAGTTATATGAATGTAGTGATTGTATTAAATCAACTAAGCAATTATGTCATGAAACAACAGAAAGGAATAAAATTTTAGAAAATAAATTACTTAATGCATCATATGAAGAACAAGAATGGAAAGATTTTAAAGTGAAATTAGCAAAAACATCAGCTAATGGTATGATCATTCTCAATGTAGGGGGTGAGAAATATACCACAAATGTTGAGACATTGACACGTGAAAAAAATACATTCTTCACCACACTCTTCTCTGAACAATGGCAAATCGAAAGAGATCCTGATGATAAAAGCATATTCATCGATCGAAATGGTAAAATTTTTGCTCATATTCTTGAATATTACCGTACAAATATCGTTCCTGATTATGTGATGAATGATAAATCACTTGTAGAAAGTCTTATTATTGAAGCCGAATATTATCGCTTGCATAGTCTACTGGAGAAATTAGGCGTCGTTTATTTTCCTAACGGATCATTACTTGAACTAGCTCATCAGAAAAAACTGAATAAATTTTATGGTGAGATTTATCAAAGATGGGAATTGATTTATAAAGCATCACACGACGGATTTGATGCCAATGCATTTCATTCACGTTGTAATCATCAAGGACCAACAATGACAATTATTAAATCAAAAGACAACTATCTTTTTGGAGGTTATACAGCTATTCCATGGACATCTGACATTTCGTACAAGAATGATACCTCAGCATTTTTATTCACTTTGACTAATCCTTACAATATTCCATCGACGAAATACCTGATTAATCCTGCTCATACAGAATATGCAGTTAGTCATCACAGTAAATATGGTCCAACATTTGGAGGTGGTCACGATGTACACTTAGCAAATGGTAGCAATGCAAACAATAATAGCTACGTGAATTTTCCTTATTCATACCTCGACACAACTAGCAAGGGCAATAATACATTCACTGGAGCCCGAAATTTTACCGCATCTGACATTGAAGTTTTCAAATTAGTTTAAATTATTTTCGTTACTGCTGATTCTTAACACTTAACAACGGAAAAGAATTTACTCACGATTATCCTGACTTTTCTATCTAGTTCATCAAGAAAATATTGAATACGCTGATGATATGTGTGCTTTTTATTCTATGCAAAAAATAATTATTTAAAAAACATGATTCCCATGAGTGATCGTAGTTTATTTAATAAAATACAAACATACGTTTTGTCTTCTCTTTCAACACTGTTAATGAAAATCAACTTTAAAATTTCTTGCAGATTGAATATGAAGGATTCATAAAGAATAAAAACATCTGTAAATATTTTTTACAAAAAACATGGGTGTGAGTGTGGTATGGGTATCTTTGAGATGAAGACCAACACAGTCGTACAGCCTCATCCAGACTCATACCCACCGCCCACACCCTATAGAACGGTCGATTGTCAAAACTCCAGACTGATTCCATTATGGTCTTGCTCGATGGGAGTCATTGATTTCGAAGCAAACAGAAAAAAACAGTTACTACGTATCAGTGTTCGCCATGGGTCAATTTTTCGTGACCCGACCTGACCCGACTCGAAGTCAAGAATAGTTTTTATTCAATCAAACCGAAGTTTTTTGAAGACGGTTCTAGTAGTTGTCTGTGTTAAGAATACCCACAAGACCTTGAACGATTGGAAGTGAACGGTTTCAGATATTGTTAAAGCAATATTCTGGCTTATTTGAACAGTCTTGACGAGGTATTATCCCAAAGAAACAAATTGCTGAACTGGTGTTTTTATTGCATAAAGATGGACAGAAAAGCATCGACAGTCTGTTTTTATCAATCAAATCAATATCAATGTGTTTTCTTCTTCAAGCTGATTGTGTTTTTTTTTGTCATCTGAAATATGCGTAAAAATTGGTTTACACATTTACATTGTATGAATCTCGACAGCAATGGCTTTATTCATACTCTATTGCGAAAAAGAAATTTACCTGTGATGACAAGATTGTTGCTCATCCTTTAAATGTGTTGCTTCATTGTGCATCGCTTTTAGCCCTCGTTCAAGAGCATTGTTACAAAAAATGTTCGAAAAATTTCAGAATGATAAATAAATGGGACCAGTTCTGGGTCCATTACTATTAGACTTTGAAATGATAATAAATAACTGTTCGCATGTTCTAGTCCATACACGATTGTTTATCTTGAAGTGGTTTTTTTTCTACGCAAGAAAGTACGATCAAGATAACGGTTGTCTTTAACGGGCTTTTGTGTTTGAAAATTGCTCAGTTGAATATTAAATCTTTGTTTGATCTACCTTGTAGAAAATTCGCTTCAAATTCGATTTACTTATTTCTTAGCTCTAATACCAGATGTATTCAAGAACAAGGTGATCAATATTCATCTTCGTGTCTTATTTTTGCAATGTAATGGAAGAACTAGTGCTCGTTTCATAATATTTGTCGATATTGATTCCTTCACATGAGCACTTGTTCTGATGGAATTCGAAAACTTCTGTAACATCTGAGCTCCAGTGTACTTTTAAGAATTATTTATTAGATAAACAAATTATGAAAACGCACACTTGTGTCCAATATTTAAAAAAATCTGATGTTCATTTATCCTTCCAACCATGGCGCTTTTTATAATTTTTCACATACGCATCGACACCTTTTAAAGCCGTTGCTACATCGTCCGGTGTAACTTTAAATGGCATATTATGAATAGTTTCATGTTCTGCTGTTGCAACCACTGCGATCTTGTAAAAATCCTCATCAGTAGCATTTTCCAAATGTATATCTTTTAATGTTACCGGCAAACCAAGTTGAAGATAAAGTTGAACATAACGATCTAGTTCATTTAATGTTCTATTTTCCAAGACAAGTTGAGTAATAGTACCATATGCTACTTTTTCTCCATGAGTCAGATGATGAATATCACCATCTATTGCCGTAAAACCATTATGGATTGAATGAGCAGCTGCAAGTCCTCCAGCTTCGAATCCAATACCGCTCAATAACGTATTGGCTTCAACAACGCTTTCGAAAGCTGGTGTCACCAATTTGTTTTTGTTAGCTTCAAGTGCTTGTATGCTATAAGCAAAAAGTATTTGCTCCGCTTTCTCGGCAATTGCCTGTCCAGCAATAGTCGGCGTACCACCTATTAAAATTTGATTACACGATTGTTTAACAGCTCTAGCTTCTACCCATGTGGCTAATGCATCTGCAATTCCTGATACTAGGAAACGTGGAGGTGCATTTGCAATAATACGTGTGTCTACTAAGACTAAATCAGGATTTCTATTATAAAATCTATAACTTTCAACAGCTCCTTTATCGGAATAAATAACAGATGCTCCGGAAGTTGGTGCATCTGTAGAAGCAGTTGTTGGAAATGTAGTTAACATTAAACCCGAATCATTTGCTACTGCCTTTGCTGTATCCATTGTTTTTCCACCACCAACACCAATAATTACATTCGAATTGGCTTTTTTGCTTAGCTTGGTAACGCGTTCAATTTCGGAATTTGAACATTCTCCGTTAAATACCACCTTTTCCACTCGAATATGACTTTGTTCAAGTATTTTTGCAAGATCATTACCAGCAATTTGCCATACAAGTTTATCTGCCAGAAGTAAAGCGTGATTACCCAATCTGCCAATATATGTACCAGCTTTCTTAATAACATCTTTTCCTTGTACATACCGACTTGGACTTAGAAATATTCTTTCCATCAAATAAATATATTTCTAAAATTTAAAAGAAGTTAATTAGAAAGCATCATACAACTTACTGTTAACTTTTAAATTACAAAGATTTTCGTAACTGCATTTGTTCGTTCTTTATGTTTTTTCTAGATCTGTGCCGTTGAACTTTTCATAAGCTGAAAAACTTAGAGTAGAAACTAATTATACGGATCTCTAGTTCATATCTTCAATCATTCTCAGGACTATTTAGTTTTGAGTATAATACATGGATAGATGTAACGATTTACCTCAGACTTTGCTTGAAATTATTAGAGATTTGTTCAATATACACAAATATAGTCAGTGGTGTAAAATGGGGGAGGTGACCCCCACTCTGCTTTCGAGAACGTTTATAGGAGACAATTTTTTAATAACTGAATGGCAGACTTTTGAAAAATATTCTGTGGAAAAATGCCGGAAAAACTTGACTCTCACCAACACTCCTCCTAGGTTTAGAAGTCAGGCACGCCCCTGAACATAGTACATATTGATGTAACCAAATTGACTAGGGATCGCTTTTAGAGGTTACCTTTTTAAGTTTATTTCAATCTGGGTGTGGGGTGTGTGTGTGTGGGCTAAGAGAAGATCAATACCCACACCCACACCCTCTTGCTTATATACTATTCCGCTGTGTTCAATTCTGTTGCACAAGAAAAATACGCATCAACCTGAAACATCCTCCAAAAATCGCACACTATCGAAGGCTATATGCTTCGCAGATAACATCCATTCTAAAGATCTGTGTGCCCGTTTTCTTTTTCTGCAGAATACTTTATGACTTTTATCTTCATATAGCGTTTTGAGCAGTAGAAGCAACAAATTACTCGATTATGCGACTTCTTGCGACATAAAAACTTCTAGACAACCCTAATCATGGAGATATTTTTGAGAATAAAAGAAGGGTTATTCAAGAAATATCAGTTCGAACTTTGCAGTCCACGTTCGGAAATGCTTGCTCATCATGATTACAGTGCTATTCAATGACACAATCAGGAAAGTGCTAGGTCAGTGTGATTGTGGGCTGAGACAGAAAACCTGTACAGAATCCTACAATTACAGCGCTTTTATGGATCATTTCTTCTTCAAATAAGGACAGTATTTATTGTTTTTTCCACGCACGCTCCCTTATTACTTATTAGTTCAATCACAACGATCTCTAATGATACAAAGATTTAAACGCTGAGTGAATGCATCTGTTCTCTGAGACCGAAAAAATTCCTCTGGATACATAGATGTCATAATACCAATACGACGGGTAACGACAGCCAGCCGTCACGATACCAACAATGAACAACGAAACTATATTGACATTACCATCACATATTCTACCGAGAAGTAATGACTTCATTACCGTACCAAAAATATATCCATCATATAACTTGAGAAATATGAGTGGATTTAGGGTATCACCCTTCGCGTAATAGCATCTCAACGCCTATCGATACAGCTGTGTATTTGAAAGCTGAGGGATATGAGTGGATTTAATGTAACCACCTCGTTACATAAACTGAGCTATGTATTTAGAAGTTGAGGGATATGAGTGGATTTGCTGTAACGACCTCGTTACATAAAGTGAACTATGTATTTAGAAGTTGAGGGATGTGAGTGGATTTGCTGTAACGACTTCGTTACATAAAGTGAACTATGTAATTAGAAGTTGAGGGATGTGAGTGGATTTGCTGTAACAACCTCGTTACAGAAAGTGAACCATGTATTTGAAAGTTCAGGGATACGAGTGGATTTGCTGTAATGACCTCGTTACATAAAGTGAACTATGTATTTAGAAGTTGAGGGATGTGAGTGGATTTACTGTAACGACCTCGTTACATATAGATAGTTCACTTTATGTAACGAGGTCATTACAGCAAATCCAATCATATCCCTCAAGTTCAAAATACATAGTTCATTTTCTGTAACGTGGTCGTTACAGTAAATCCACTCATATCCCTCAACTTCTAAACATATAGCTGGATCAATCTCAAGTCAGGTCTCATTACGGAAAGGGTAATACCCTAAATTCACTCATATCCCTCAACTTCTAAACACATAGCTGGATGCATCTCAATTCACGTCTCATTACGAAAAGGGTAATACCCTAAATCCACTCATATCCCTCAACTTCTAGACACATAGTTCATTTTCTGTAACGTGGTCGTTACAGTAAATCCACTCATATCCCTCAACTTCTAAACACATAGCTGGATTCATCTCAATTCACGTCTCACTACGGAAAGGGTAATACCCTAAATTCACTCATATCCCTCAACTTCTAAACACATAGCTGGATTC